GTAAAGTTACAATTAAAAGTCATAATTGGAGGGACTTTCTCAAAGGTGTCTATCAACCAATTAAATTTCAAACCAAAATTGAGTACCAAGCGAAAAAAAACTTTTTTTTACCCACTTTTATATATATACTACATATGTATGCAGACATCAGCAGTCCTTTCGGAATTTTCAGTATGCATTCGGAGGTTTTAAAAGTCGTTAATCACTTAACCAAAAATATTTACTTGGACATTATAAGTAGATACTTAGATATAATAAAACCACTTATAGTAAATAATGTACTATAATGCTCAAGTTTGCATGTTCATATTCAAATATGTAACCATGTACAACACATTCATATGTACCTATGTATGCGCATAAAATTTCAATTTCAAATGTCTCACTTCGCAAATTTCTAAGTATTATATATGTATGAGTAATACTCTTGGCGTATTCGTCACACTTATGTTGAGGTTACATACGAGAGGCTGCTTTTGTTGACACTGTTGATATTGCCTACCTTTTCATGATTGACACTTGTTATCATGAAGAAGTATGTATTCGTGCGTAAATTCCTCGTTCCCAAGGTGATGCGTGTCTTAAAAACACCTTGGAATATTTCTTTCTACTTAATTTTTACAATTTTTATACTCTCGAAGCATGTTGCACAAGAGTATAATAGATTTATACAAGTAACGGTTATTTGTAGCACTTGGAACTGATTGGGATAGATATAGGATTATATATGTACATATGTATGTGTATGTATATATGCATATGTATGTGCATACATATGTACATGTATCAAAATGATCAGAATGACGAGAGAAATTGATTTCCTTAAGTCCGTTTGGCCGCCTGTCTTGCCGTAAAAGCGATAACTTCAGTACAAATTGAGAGATCTTGATGAAACATTAAATACATGTTTCTTAGCACTCTCATGAGAATTCTAATGCATAATGTAAAAATTTAACCATTTCCATGACCACAAAATTACCTCGCGAAGTCCAAAGACCAAACCAAAGAATTAAGCGCGATAAGTTAGTTGTTGATTAAACTTAAAAAGCTCAAATTTAGTACAGGAGTCATATGGAAAGGGACATGTTTAAAACAATTTGAAAGACGGCTACAGCCCGCCTGACATTTTTTTAATAAACTTTTTTTGTTTTAAGCTAACGTCAAGTAAACGATACTTTCTAAGAACATTAGATACCATCCAATATTAAAATATGAAAATTGGTGAAATTCGGTAATAAACTGGTATACAATGTACAATATAACTAAAATTATCGAAATAACAGTTAACATATGTACATAAATAAACTCAATAAAACCGGAATGTGATTTACTTAGTTAAACATACCAAACATTTTAATGTACTTATATATGAGGTACATATATATGTATTATTGGTAAAACATACAAAGATAAGTATTTGTATGAATGTCAAAGAAATTGTTTTCATGACCATCATCCAACTTGCTGCTGATATTTGCCTCTAAAACCACATTTACTTTCAAGCGCATCTTTCAGTACATTAGCACACAAACTACCTAACATAACTAGCAACTATGCGTATGTATTGTTGCCACAATAAAAATAATAATGAAGACAAAAGAAACTTCATTAATTTGTTATAAATTGAAAATTGTTCACATATAAATGTATGTATATCTATTTACATATGTACATAAGTATATAAGACCTTGACAATGCCTTTTAAGGCGTTCTCTGAATGTTTCAGCTTGAAATTTTTTACAAATAAAACATTAACATATTTACATAGTGTGTGCTTATATTGACTTAGTACTTTATATCTAAGAGTGTACTCTTCACCTATTCCCAAATTGAATTTTTTTATTATGGGAAGACTGTTATAAAGTTTAAAGGAAACAAAAAATATGTATACATAAATTTTCAGAGGCCTGATATATAGTACAAACTCCCGTAACAAAATTGTATATGCAGCAGTATTCTACTAAAATTGTATTGAAAAAACTCAAAATTATCGAAACTTTTTTTTGTCGCTTAGCGATTAGAAATTCCAGACCCGATCTGGCAGTCTGTTAATTTTGATAACTAACATATTGAAATTCCTTATCACTTTAGTAATTGTGCTATATACCAAGGTTGTAAATAATGCATTAAAAATGTTCTCATTCCTAGTATTTTGGAATTTCAATTTTTAATCATACAACTTTTTAATAAAAAAAATTCTCAAACCTGCTGTACACTTATAAAAACGATCAACCAATATACAATCTTTCCGAATCAACCGAATCCAAATTACTATTTTTTAATCAAGAAGAAAAGAAACTAATAACACGGGTTAGGTCTGATCGGCCTCTTCTATTATTTGGCACTTAGACCATGCATAATAATAATACATATTCGCTGCTAATTTTAACAAATGCTGCACTTTCCTCAAATTTTTGTCAAAAATCGCCAAACAAATTTACTTCTTAGAAATTTATTTTCGATATTCATAAAAATGTCAATAAATGTACGTATGTATCCATACAGATGTATATATGTACGTATGTACATATATTCTCACTTTAAGTGTAGATCGTTATTTTCTAACTCATTCAGAGTCGACTTTAAACGACTATAACCACGGGCAGTAGCACAGAAGATTATACAAGTGTTCTAAGAAAACAGCAAAATAAATTAGTCAGCTGGTAAAACTACAAGTATAACCATTGCACACATTCGTTACCGGCAACGCCTTGATACCGACTCGGCGTTTAAAACCATATGCAATTCCGCGTGCACGCATTTGTGTGTGTGTGCATATATTCATATATGTATGCATATGTAGATACACAGAACTATATAGCAAATTCATATGTAAGAAATGTAAATACAAATGTGTCCAGACGGTCTTTATCTTTAAAACCAAATGTGCAAGGGTGCTCAAAAATAACACTATGGTTCTTGCAAGATATTTACGTACATACATATATACAAATTTGTGTTATGTATAGAATATAAAACATATATATAAAGTACTATTATGGATGTATGTACATACATATATATATTCATACTATATAACATGTGTTGCAGATACATGCATATATACATATATACATGTGTGCATGTATTGACATTTTAGACGTTAAAACAAAAATATTTACTTCCATATCTAGTTGTGAGTCACAATGAAACTCAAGCCAAACTTGTGTATATTGCCCCTCACGGTTATATGTAGATACATATGTACATATGCAAACATATAAGCAAAAGTGTGTGAGCAAGCAAACAAACATAATATGTATATGTGTGTAATCCATTGCAAGCCTTACAATAAAATAATGTTAAATACCGCATAGTATTTTTAACTAAAATTAATGTTAATTCAATTATTTTCGTTCGTATATAAAAAAAAATTACAAAACTAATATCTTCTATTCAAAAAAACATATAATACTTTAATTTTGTAACCGAAAATCCACTTTAAACTCAAACAAAATAAACGAAATTTGAAGCCGACATTTCTTATTCACTTTCCGGCTTTCCCCTCTCAAGTCGGCCTTTAGCAAAAAAGTTTAAACTCTCTTTCGCGTTCAACATTACTTTATTGTCTCCTTTTTTGTCTACACGGGGAAAAGTTGAGAGCAAAGGAGCGTTTGCCAAATATATTTCAATGTTGCAGATTTTAATATTGAAGTGCAATGGGATAAATTATGAAATAAATTTTTTCAGTTTTTTCTAGAATATGTGATACTTACTCATACATAACAAAAAGTTATTATTTTTCAATATTATTCAACAGAGACATTTTTAATTTTTAACAAACCATTTTAGATATGTATCAGATCATACACAAATATATATGCATCCACACATGATCAGAAAGCCGTAAAACAATGGGCTATAACAGGGTAACGCTGAGCATTCTGTTGTTATGATAAGCCAAACTTCTAATAGTTCAGGAAGAAATCACATTTGGTAAAAGCAATAAGAAAAAAACTACTTAGGATATGAAAATCGGCTACCTAGAATTTGCCCATAGACGTTGATGTCGCATAATATTCGATTATTGAGAGTGCATGACTACATAAACAACACTGATTATTTGTAATTTTCGAGCAATGAGAGAGATTGAGAGAGAGCAACCATTCGACAAACCATGCAGTACATCTCTCTCTATACGCTATCGCCATATTTTTCACACTTACACGCTTTTAAGCCGGGTAAAACAGTAAGCGAAAAATTCTCTAGTATCTACGACCGGCGATTCCACATCCATATATGGTAAAAGTTAGAGACTCTACTGATAAGGAGCCACTGGCGTAGTTGGGGCCTTTATAAGAGCGTGTTAACGTGTTTTGCTATCATTACATTTTGCGTTCTTGTAGTGTGTGCGATACAGAAAGGCACAGCAGCAACTCAACACAAAGTCCAAAAGACTTCAAATAATATTAATTAATTTTAGTAAACTTAAAACTTAAAAAAGTAAGTATATTAAAAAATCAAAACGAAACATTATGAATTTGTGAAAAAACTAAGACTTAATTAAAAGTGCCAATCGAAAAAGTGGAAATAATTTAAAAATTTTGAGATACAAATGTATATCTGAAATAACCGGTGAAATTCTTTAACGATTTTAACAACTGAGGTTTACGAAAACATTTGGATTACATGAAATATTCATAAAATTATATATGAATTATGAGAAAGTGAATGCAATGAAACTAAATAATTTTATTATATAATATAAAGTGAAGTTATCAAAGAACTAAACAAAAATGCTTACAACTGCAAATTTTACAAAATGTCATGTGCGGAAATCATAAATTTGAGTTATGCAATTAAACTCTGGACCTTGAGCATATTAAGTGTGAACTTGATAAGATAGTGCCTTCACCTTATCACATTTAAAGTTTACACACCTGTGTGAACACATTTGATTGTGTTATACTGACTCTTGGTACTTAAATACCTACATATGTACATCTACTATCGGATTGGATCACATGGCAAAAACCCAATTTAACGGGCGTGGCAACTTACCTGCTTGTTCGGAAACGGAATATATTTTAGTATCCAATTGTAGGCCACTTCCGATTTATTACATACATAGTATGTACGAATGTACATACATAAATAGATACATTTTGTATGTAGTAGCATGAGTCAGGCTGGAGACACCGTTGCAGTAGTAGACATTGACCTCGCCAACGCCCTTGTCGTCTTTACACTCCCAGTAACTCCCACGTTAACTATTCATTGTTAGTACGCCTGAACATATTTCTCTCGAAGAGCTACACGATAACTTTTTTGTATGCAGGTTTTTGAATTGAAAACGATTTCACTTTCATTCTACTAGATATTTTCACCCAAATTTATTTATAACAATGCAAAATCACACATTTTTTGCAAGTTAAATTAGAAAAGAAAGTTGACTGTCCGCCATCACAATTTACAGTTTTAGTTGCTTTTGCTGTATTACACAGCTGCCTCTTTGCGAACGAGAGAAACACGTCATAGTGTAAGCCGGCTTCGACATTAATATGTCCCACATGCAAAAATACGCAAATGAAATTATGATATGTGCTTGAATTTTGAACATACACAAAATAGCTAGGTTCACAGTTCCCACGACAGTCGGGTGTACGTAACCGAAACGGACCCGGATTTTTATCCGGCCAAGATTGTCAACTCGGCAGCATTATTCAAATTTATATCAGGAATGTTTTCTGACACTACAACAACATATATGGATTCATAAACTATAAAAAGTAAAGAACTCAATGGCTAAATATTAAGACTATTGGCTGTGTAGGTGGAATATTGGTTTATTTTCTAAACATGGTTATATTTGCCGCACCCTAAATGCGTTGATAGTCATAAAACATATACATAAGTACATATATGTGTACATTTGTATATCCATTTATAGATATGTATATACACCAACATGTATGCATATTTATATCATGGACAACGCTGCCTACATTTGAACTTGACTCATTTTCTGCTCTTCCGCTCTTGTCCTCTCCGCACTCTTTAATTCAAGAATTCCAAGTTTTTAACCGTTAATTCGTTTCAGTTGCCTTTTAGATCCAACAAAACACCAAACCATAAATAGATGCACACTTATATACATAGGCATGTATAAAGAGTAGTAGCAAAATGCCGGTTATGTCGACGAAGCTCTTTTATGGTATCGGCTGTTAACGTCTGTCCCTCCACTTTATCTTTCTTAACAGCTTGTTTCCCTATAGTATGTCTAACTCACTCACACAAATGTGTCGTTCACGCGCTACAAACATGATAAATAGAAAAATGAAGTTACTTCTTTTTGCCAGTAGGGGCATTTCGAGAAATCGCTTTACGATTTTTCACTGCAGTACAGAAAACATGACCATATATGGTCACGAAAATGGAATCGCGTATACTAGAGCCCCGAACTGCTAGTGAGATTAGAGAGCGAAAAGTGAGGGTTAATCAAAAACACGATTCAGCGAGGTCGTTTGTCAACTTGGTAATGCATTATTGCGCTCTCAGTCACTCTTTTGTACAGCACACGAGTGTTGAGCCGGAAAGAAAGAATCGTGTAGATTTCGGTTTCACTGACACTCTCCTCGTTTATTTTCGAAAAAGCGGAGAGGTGTACTCGCCACTCGTCTGGTTCACTCGTTGATATGTAGAAATTTTAACTGGCATTTTTTACTTAACGGCGTCCCATTCGTTGTTGGACTGTCAAAGTGCTTAGTTGAATTTCTGCAATCAATCTTCAAGCAGAGATTTTCTGTTTTGCCAAGTCAGCATCTTAAAACGATCGTGAAATTTTAACAACGCTTTCCTAGTGCGTCAATTTACGAATTTAGATATTATTGTAAACCAAACTTCAAAAAGGTGAGATATATTGTGCGAATATATTCATACCGGTTTTGTAATAGGTTTAGTTCACCTACGTATAAATGTACAACATACATACATATATACATATTGATCCGGCCGGCATTCGGAAACGATTGTGATAGTTGACCGTTTGTTTTATTTGCTGATTATTTTTTCAATTTCTTAATGTCGGGCGTTGCCCTTTCAGAATGCTTGAATTGGTTTTACCATATTTTCATGGAAATTCTAAATAATCTTCGCACGTAACGTTTACCAAATTAGCGCAGATGTTGAATTATAATAATGAACAATTGTATTTGTTTTATCCAAAGTGATTTTTTTTTATTTCTATTAAATTTGAATATCACTAGATTGCTTCGATTCATATTTCAAAGCTTGTCACATATATGCTAAAATTGTAGTGAATTTTATTGAAATTTCATGTTTTCCTCTATATTCGCGCGGTTGCTTGAATATCGTTTTGTAAATAAATTCGTATTTTCCAAATTTTATATTGTACTAAAAAGACTTCGTTAAAATTGGCAATAAAAAGTCTAAACTTCGTTGTAACTTTTATAAGGGAAAGGAGTCTAAGAACAGGCACTTTAAATTAAAAAGTTAATACTTAGCAAATTAACTATTGTAACCTTATGTGTATATTTTCGTGTACTAATAAAGTTTATTTTTTTTGTTCTTGTTTTCAGCAAACAAAATGTGTGACGAAGAAGTTGCTGCCTTGGTTGTTGACAATGGTTCCGGTATGTGCAAGGCCGGTTTCGCTGGTGATGATGCACCCCGCGCTGTCTTCCCTTCAATTGTGGGTCGCCCACGTCATCAAGGTGTGATGGTTGGTATGGGTCAAAAGGATTCATATGTCGGTGACGAAGCACAGAGCAAACGTGGTATCTTGACCCTGAAATACCCCATTGAACACGGTATTGTAACCAACTGGGATGATATGGAAAAAATCTGGCATCACACCTTCTACAATGAACTGCGTGTCGCTCCCGAGGAACACCCAGTCCTGTTGACTGAAGCCCCATTGAATCCAAAGGCTAACCGTGAGAAGATGACACAGATCATGTTCGAAACCTTCAACACACCCGCCATGTATGTGGCCATCCAGGCCGTACTTTCCCTGTATGCTTCTGGCCGTACCACTGGTATTGTGCTGGATTCTGGTGATGGTGTTTCCCACACTGTTCCCATCTATGAAGGTTATGCCCTGCCACATGCCATCCTTCGTTTGGATTTGGCTGGTCGCGATTTAACCGACTACCTTATGAAGATCTTGACTGAACGTGGTTACTCATTCACAACCACTGCCGAACGCGAAATCGTTCGTGATATTAAGGAAAAATTGTGCTACGTCGCACTCGACTTTGAACAAGAGATGGCCACCGCAGCCTCAAGCTCGTCATTGGAGAAATCATATGAATTGCCCGATGGTCAAGTGATCACCATTGGCAATGAACGTTTCCGCTGCCCAGAAGCTCTCTTCCAACCATCATTCTTGGGTATGGAAGCCTCCGGTATCCACGAAACCACATACAACTCCATCATGAAGTGTGATGTTGACATCCGTAAGGATCTGTATGCCAACACTGTGCTTTCTGGTGGTACCACCATGTACCCAGGTATTGCTGACCGTATGCAGAAGGAAATCACCGCTTTGGCTCCATCAACAATGAAGATCAAGATCATTGCACCACCAGAACGCAAATACTCCGTATGGATCGGTGGTTCTATCCTTGCTTCTTTGTCTACCTTCCAACAGATGTGGATCTCGAAACAAGAATACGACGAATCCGGCCCATCAATTGTGCACAGGAAATGCTTCTAAACTGGTTAATGGTATTTTACATAACATAACCAAACAAAATTCTAGAATTTTAAAGCATTTTTTTAAGTTTTCATTCAAATGTATTATTTTCTAATTATTTAAAATGTTACAAAAACTTGAGAGGAAAGAATAAGATTGGCAAACTCTTCTCGTCATTCATTCGTCTACGTACGAGTGGGACATGAGGGGGACATAATAACCAAAAATCTAAAATGTCGATTTTTTCTTTATTTGGAAGTTTTCTAAATTCAAGAGTACACAAATTAATGAGTTTCATATGATGTTAGGTACATTTTCATAAATGCATAAATACACATTTCACAAAATGTTCTCATTACATATACATATGTATTCATGTGCACCATAAGCATTAAAAGACGTTTTGTGTTCTAATTCATAAACACCAAGTTAGTGCTCAAATAGAAGCTTACGCATACATATGCATTCGTAGCTTCAAAGTGACGCAACTTCCCATTTTTATACTTGCAAACAATGTAATGAATATTTTTAATTTCAATTTGATTTTAATTACATGCGTATTGATTTTCTTACGCTAAAATGTTAATTAAACAAAAGATTACTAAAGACTTGAACAACAAAAATATTAATAAAAAAAAAGAAATATTTTCTTAAACAAGAGAGACTTTGCCATCTGGCCCAATTTTTCATTATTAAGATGGTAAGGTGCAGTCTGAGAAATATGAACCATATGCATAACTTGTGACTATGTACCATCTCGTGGGAATTAGGAAGGATTTTCACTTTTGTTTCCACAACTATGCATATGTGTATATTTTCCCGACCCATATGGTTGAGATTTGATGTAAAGATTAGTTGCGAAGGATGGATAAAACGCATTAAATTGCAACTACAAGTATAGGACAACAAAGAGCAAGAAAACAATTGTAATAAATTTGTCAACAAAAATAAACCAAGATATATAAAAATAAAGTACGTATCTTTTTATTACTGAAAGATAGAATTTTTGTAGGAAATCGCTAAACAATCCATTTGGGCTAATTCAAAAAAGGATATTTTGATAGACGGTGGTGCATTAAATACATGATATGATATGTTAATGTGTCCAAATGAATTATAAAGACGATGGTGTAAGATATTTGAATTATATGAAAGTAGAATAAAATTTGTCATAAATTAAGTAAGCTACGAAGCGTAAGATCAGCAAACTTCCGATTAACTTGATGAGAAAGTGCAATACTTTATAGATTTTCATGCGTGTCAATGCACCTTGAGAACATGTTGCCGGTTCATTTAACAGAAATACTCTTGCGCCACGTATACCCGCGCGGAAAAATTGTTCGTAATCCAGATCTTTGTATTGTAAGAATCCAAATTTGTCGCTTCAATATTAAAAACAAATTTTGTAGATATTAATTACTTCACAGAAAGCTACACAAACCACATATACTTACACTTCAGATTCAGGTACAAAAGAATTTAATTCATAGAAATTGTCGTTCTTGAAGTCCCACTGAGTGGTTACGAAATAATGCAAGGCTAATGTAGCAGCATAAATTCGTCGTTGCAATTTTAAAAGGCTGCAAAAATAATAGGTAAGTATTATAGAATTGTTATATATATTTTAACATTACTACTGAGTTTAAAACTTACAATGGTTTTGTATTAGTAAACCGCAAGGCAAAATCAGCCAATATTGCCACCAAAATGTGAAGAGTATAAAACTGAAATCAAATTAAATACATCGTTATTATTTTTCAATCAAAAATATGAATCATAAATATCTTTTCTACAAATAATGATCCGTAAATATTTTAAAATGTTTCAAAGTGCATTTTTCGGCTTTTAAATATTTAAAAACATTATGTAATTTAAACACAATTCACTTTTATAAAAATGTTTACCAAATTTACTACATACCCGTATCATATTCCATACCGGGCACCGCGTTATGCTTCCATCTGGTACCCATAATGTCTTTTCAAAAGGCGTTTCTTTTATAACCTTTTTGCCGATTTCGACGACTTCGCCAGTGGTTATGGGACAAATTTTTGAAGCGGCACAATTCACTACTTCCAATTTCGGTTCATCATTATCTCTAATAATATCAAATACAAGTAGAGAGGATATTTGAAATAATATTTTGTAATATTATACTTGACTAACCTATCCTCAGTACCCTTACGATAGGTAGCGATTAGCATGGCACGTACAAGTACATCAACTGGCACAAAGTCAGAAATAATATTTGGTTCGCCATAGCTTGTACGGAATATACCAATACCACAAGCAACTAGCATTCCAATGGGGCCGTTGAAGTTATCCACCCACCCGGCAACAGGTTCTTCAATCGACGAAACAACTATGAAAAATTTAAGATGTAACTAATATTATACGCATATATGTATGCACATATTTGGACATATATACCTATTGAAGGTCGAAATATCATTAAAGGCAGTTTGTCTTTATACTCCTTGATAATTTGTTCAGCTAAACTTTTCGTAAATGTGTATGTATTTGGCTGGAAATCGCCATATCTGAATAATGTGCAAAAGCAACGAAACTATGCATTATTCGATTATTAAAACAACTTGTAGAATCACTTACTTTAGATTGAAAACGTTCAACAACTCAGTGTCATAAGTTTCGGCCAGTTTAATTGTTGTGCGCCAATCTGCATAAGGTGGGTAAAACTAAAAACACGGTGGATTTGTTTCCTATTATTAATAAAATAAATATACCTGTTCCTCAATAACTCGCCGATTTGGATAACAGTAAGTGGTGGAAACATGCATAAAGACCTGCAGATGCTTAAGAGTTTCTGCGATTTTGATCAGCTCATAAGTGCCGCGTGTATTCATGAGAATAGCATCACGCAATGGATCATCGAATCTGAAAATGTATTCAAAAATAATTACTATTTACTAAATTTTAATTTGTATAAATATGTTTACTGCTTTGGAAACTATAAATGTATTATTCCAAGACGACAGTTCCGCAATGACGGAAAAAATTTCCTTAACGTTAACAACATTACAACAAAAATTTGTATTATAAATTTGTTTCTATTTGTATATTATATGTGAAGTATACATAAGTAATTCGAGTTATAGAAATTACTCGCGAAATGCAAAAAATTACACGACAAACATACTTATATAAAACGTTTCTAAAATAATATTTATGTAAAAACCGATAAAAATACCTTGTTCTGCGCAATATGACTATTTAAATAGAAGCAACTTTGTATTAAATAATTAAAAAATTAAGCTGAATTCAATCAAAAGATAAATTTATAAATAAACAAAATGTATAATATTTATGTATGTATTTATGTGCCTACATTACCTTACACTAGCAGCTGAATGGTAAATAATGTTCACATTTTCCAATCGTCTCAAATCGGATGCACAAATACCTAAACCTAGTTCACTACAATCACCAGCAATAGCATGAACTTTCTTTAAGTTTTGTGGTTGTTCTCGCCTAAGTCGGTCAAAGAGTTGAGAATTTAATATATTATTTAAACGCTCCTCAATGTTTTTTCCTTTTTTCGGCCGTAGCAAAACGTAGACAGCGCCTACATTTGTGCAAGAGCGCAAAATTTTTTCAATGAGACCCTTTCCAATAAAACCTGAAATTTTTTTTTTAATATTTCACAACATTGTGTGGATTATTAAAGATTTTCAAACTTACCTGATCCTCCGGTAATAAAGATTTCCTGGTTTTCAAAAAATTGTGATATAAGCATTTTATCTCTGAAAGTATTAAAAATTATATTTGAAATAGTACCTAAGAATTGTTGAAAGTTTATATACATTACTAAATAAAAGTTTAAGCATGACCACACAGCGAGCTGTCTAAGAATATCACATTTGTAAGTAGGGTTCATTTTAATTGAACTCTATGTTACGATTCGCGTTTAAAATTATATGCACATTAACATTTTCAATACGAAATCGTTGACATTGTACTTGGGGTGTGCGATAAGAGCAACGCAACAATCTAATTTCAATTAGCATTTTTTGGTCGGTAAAAGCTTATTGTAAATGCACATTTTGAATTAACGGTACGTTAACCTTATCTTCTTCAAATATATATAGTAAGCATACTCGAATACATCACACATACATTATGCCAAATGTTAATAAAAAATAAATATTCAAATAATTAAAATTAACAAAAATACCTTTAGCTATATATGTATGTGAGGTAAATAGTAATTACCCAATATTTTTTCGAAAGGTAAGAGCTATTGTGGGAAATATGGAACCCCCACTCAACTATAGCTGAATAAATATCAAACAAATTATTGTATGAATCAAATTTTTATAATTTCGTTTCGAAACTACATAACAGAATTTTTTAATATTTAATAACTACGGTTTATGCACACATGATTTTTAATTCATTATCTCAACAATTGTTAAATATAGTTGAACAGATTTTGACACATTTTTGTAAATATTTTTTTTTTTCATTAAAATAACAAGAGCTCTAACTGTTAATTATCATTTTTTAATATATTTTTTCGCTAGTTTAACTCCTCGCAACACGTTTTACACTTAAAAGAATTGTACGAAACATTTTATGCGTATTGAAATTATCACATTGTACTCACATACTAATGTGGCAAAAATATATACAAATAAAAGGGAATAATTTGACTTTTGATTAAAAAAAATGTAATAATTGTTTATTTTTTACTAAAAAACAACACTTTCAATTATAAATACATACTGTTAACTATATCCTTTCGTATCCTGTATGTAGTTGTAGTATTGTATCCTACTGTAGTTGTATCCCTGTTCAGTAAAATTCAGCAGAAATAGCTTAAAACTTTGTCACCTGTGTACTTCGGAATCGTCCAACGCAAACTGAATATAAGTCTAGCCTTAGTACCTTATTTTTGAAATCAATTTCGTTCAATTCCATTTTTTACTAGTTCATGAATAAGTTTAAGTTGGAATTTGCTGGCAAGCAATAAAACACAAATTAGCTTCGCACATACATACTTTTGTTTTTGATTTTAGGTGCATTAGTATATAATATACAATAGCGTGTATGTGCAAAAAAAGTTTTAGTTCATTAAGTAAAAAATTATAACTTTTTAGTATACAGTGTATAAGCTAATAGTCACTCTTTTAGTTAAAGAAATAAAATATTTAAAATCACAGGCAAGGTAAGATAAATCGATAATTTGGAATACAATTTATCGATATTAAACTTATTTCGTTGACAACAAATTAAAGATAATTATAATTTTATAATATTTTTTACGGTTGTTGATTATATAATTATTTCAAATTTAAGTAAAAATAACTCATGTAATTACCTTTGAATTCAAGCTTTTATTCATATTGGAATAAATCATAAAAACCGATTTGCAACTACCCAATACTTTTCATTCCGAACAACACTAATGTCAACCAAGCGTAGATAAAAAAATTTTCCTAATAGTTGGTCGACTGTCAAACCAGCAAAGTAAAGAAAATTACAGTTTTTGGTATCAATTTTAAAGAAAACAAATTAATTAAGTTACACTTTATTATTAAAAGTTTATTAGATAGAAAGTTCGCAGTGTTTGATTTAAAAGTGAACCACATATAAGAAGATTAATTTGCAGGCTATATATTTATGGTTTTGTACTAGCATCAGAATAGAGGGGGGCAAAAGCGCCAGCGCTAAAAACCGCATTCAGTATAATACTAAAAAACATTTAGACAAAAATAACAATATTTTTGTTTTGTTATAAAATCGGCAATTAAATGAAGAATGGCTACTACACAGCAGTACTCGCTTCGTTGGAACAATTACTTTCGACATTTGACATATGCTTTGGACAATCACCGCAACAACGATGATTTTGTTGACGTGAGTTTATGCTGTGACGGACGTAAAATCAAGGCTCATAAAGTGGTGCTATCATCATGTAGTTCTTATTTCAAAGAAATATTCAGGGACAATCCCCATCCTCATCCAGTAATAATTTTTAAATTTATTAAATTCGAAGATCTCACCTCAATAATTGAGTTTATGTACCAGGTATGCTTAACGTTATCATAATTTAAATTATATTATGTACTTTGTCCGAATTTACAAATATTAGTAATAAAATATTTTTGGATTTTATTAGGGAGAAGTGAATGTACAGCAGGAAGCGTTGCAATCATTTCTCCAGACCGCCGAATTACTTGCTGTGCAAGGTCTTACCGCAGAGGAAAAGGAGAAACCAAAATTGCCTCCGACACCGATTATTGATGAACAAAAACTTATTAAAACCATCCCCAGTACTATTAGAGCGGTGAATGATGTAACGACTGCAACACAGACTACACCGCAAACAATCGAAATACCAACGGCAACTATTTTGCAGCAAACGCAGCCACAGCAACAGCAACATACCGCTACACAGCATCATCATGTACAAACACAAATCCAGCATATTCAAGTGCAACATCAACCGCAACCCCATGTGCAAACCGTGCAAACTCAGGTGCAGCAACAGCAAACAACAACACATCAGCTGCAACATCATCAGCAGCAACAATTGCAACAAACTCATTTAGGTGCGCTGCCTTCTACTAATACGATAAAGAAACGTAAAATGACTTTCTCAGATGATGATGATAACATATATACCACAGAAGGCGTTGATTACGGTGTCAAGGATGATTCTTCGATTGTTAAAAGTAAAAAGAAAAAATAATTAACATTAATACAAATAAATCTATAAATGTATATATTTATTTACAAATGAATTTTTAGCGGCGGAAATGACATTCCTACGAGGTACTGTTAAAATGGATATACCCGAATACATAGTTGGCGAAGTTGATGATAGCGAACAGTTGACTGATGGAAGTGCGCAGCATACATCACAAGACGGTGGCACGACGGGCACCCAAAATGTCACACAGTACACATCTGAATATGAAATTCTGACAGAATCAGAAATTGAGGAAAAGTTTCATCAAGCTGATGCAGAAAATGCAGAAATAACAATCGAAATGGGTATTTAAAAGTTCCATATGTTAATGTTAGTTTTTTTTAATGGGTTGTAATCTGTATATAGGGCGTCTTTTAAATCCAACAACGAGTACGCCATCAACAACAACACCTCATACAACGTTAGATGAATCCGGTGGCAGTGTCACTAATGCTGTAGTAAAAATTGATAATAAAGGTGGCGGAACTGCAGGTATGTTAACAGAGGAATTTGATACTAAAAGTCAATTTTGCTTAATACAATTTTTTTACTCTTACTAAGTTATGTTCTTGTTTATTGGGTGTGAGGAATTAAAAAGTTATTTTATCTCTATATCTGAAGCTGTATTTATAAATAGATATGTGTGTTATAACAGTTGACCTAAAAAACCATAATGGATCAGAATTTATATATAGCCACAAGAAACTATAGTCCAATCCCATATCGTTCGTTATATACATGTGTGTTTTTATAATGAATGATTATTTATATTAATTTAATATAGTAACTCTTAGCAATTTTTTAGATATATTTAGAATTAATTTTTTTTTTTAATATTTTAAAATCAATGTAGTATATTGCTAATTTTCATCAAACTAAAAGTAATCTGTAATTATATACATAAAAAAATGATTATTAATTATAAAAACTATATATGTACATACTATTTTTGCAGTAAATTTTGTGATCTAAATTTGTGTCTACTACGATGAATATGTCTCCAAATGTTACCATTTTCTTTTCATTCGTTTTTTTTTTCTGACAAAATATTTATACTTCATCGCAATTATATAAACTATTGGCGATTTACAATGCTAGATTACTAGCTTAAAGTTATTCTAAATTATAAGACGTATGTAAAAAAACAAGTTTAGTTACTGTCAACATAATTTTTGTGCTATTTTTGTGTATTTTTAGATTTGCCAAATAATAAGTGGACAGAATGTCAATTTTGCAAAATGGTCATAACCACGGTAAATCTTTGGAGACATATTCGTACGCAACATACGCCTCAACCGCCCCGTAAATGCGAGCTATGCAACAAAAATTTCAAAAACAAATACAGTCTACGCGAACACATACGAATTTCGCACGAACAAAAAATCACAGTGAAGTCAGAAAACTGATTGACAATATTTCATTTGCGTCGGTAAATTGACCGCACTTCTTTTTTAATAAAATAACGTGAATAAAGGAAGAGCTTAGCAGCAAATGCCAAGCTTATTATGAAAACCGTTATTAACTGCAATCAAGAAAGGCAACTATAAATAACTTCGATGTTAATTTAATACCAGTGAGCAGAGCACATAAATACGTCCAAAAAATATGAATAATAATGGAACTACCAAAATGAAATTATGATGAAAAATGCTAGAGATTTAACCTAAAAAGTGCAAAGTAGATTTATTTTAATTAAGCCAGTGTATTGCAATATTCAATTATTAGCTGAATTCCGGTTTAATTTATTTAAACAATGGTCGATTGATTTTGGTAATGATTTTAATACTTTTTTGTAATATAGTTGATTAACGAACTTTGCGCTGCACTATTCGTAATTATTATTAAACACAAACCACTGTACATTTTAATTAATCTTCTATTACATATAAAACAAACAAATATTAATATAATTTAAAATATCTAAAGGCACATTTATTCAACACTAAAACTCAGAGAAGGTAATAACGATTGATATTAAATATTAGAGCTTGATTAGTGTATACTGTGGGGCAGAAATCTCCCAATTCATATAATTTGCTTATTTTCTAAATCATTCGCAAGATCCTAGCAAATACATACACATTTCGGCTTAAACTGATAATAGGACAAAACAAAAGTAAAGACAAAAAAATTTAAGTGAGGTAGATGTGTAAATCGATGTATAAATTTAATAAGTATCTATCATGTTTCATTAATTAAATACAGATGTATAAAGGATATGTATTACAATTTTTATAGGATAGACTTAGATTTAACGGAAATAAAAATAAATCAGATTGATATACATACATATATAATTCTATAATGTAGGTGTAGATTTACTTGTAACTTAAAAGTATGTGTAGGACGAGAGGAATTAATTAATATGCAATATTTGCAAAAAATATTTTTTTGCCGATAAACTATATATACATACATATATAAGGGTAATATTTAAAAAAAAAAAGATTCCAAAATTGAAATTCAAAAAACTGTACAAAATAATACCTATAATAAAATTTGAAGAAATCACGAAGTGAGAAAATGAAAAATAGCGTAGAATATTTAAATACAGTTTCGGCTACCGGAAAATTTAGCTATAAAAAAGTAAGATAATAGAAAATTTCCATATCTCGAGTCGATAAGAAACGCTTATCATATAGTACAATTTGTGGACAAAAAAAAGTATTAAGCAGTACAGCTTTGGATAAAAACAACATGAATCAAAATTCATATTGAAATTCTCATATTTTCGTTTCCCTAATCGCTAATTCATTCGTTTTCAATATTTTCTTTAAAAAAATTGGAATTACTGGGGTTTTATGGTACCATGGAAGTTTTCTTGTGAATATTTTTATATAACATCTCAATTATTAAGTCACATTTAAATCATGATGAAATTGCTAATTAGAAAATTAAAAAAATTAAATTTAATACATGAAATACAAACAAATTTAAAAGAATACTATATAAATAAAATAAAGTAATTGTAATATACTTATACTGATTATATTATATGTATGTAATATTTATAAGCAGGATAGACTTTTATTATAATTTTCAAAAATATAAATGAATGTCGAAAAAATATTTGTTTATTTTTTATATTATATGTGGGTCAGCTTAATTGGATGAGCTTATACCGAGTAAGAAATAAGCGCTATACACTACTTTAATTGAATCCATAATTTAAAGCTAATTTTAAACGGTTCATTTTGTAGACGTGCAGTGTCGATGACAATACTTAACATGTATTATGATAGCTCTGTTGATGCTAAATAAGTAAAATAATAATAAGAGGTCTTCACTACATCATATATTGGATTGTCTAAAAACGCCCACGAAATTTTGGGAGGGTTTAGTATGTAAAAGGCTCTTTCCTGGTTTGCGTTACAATTTTTTTTGTTTATATTTATGTAGTTCTCTACAACCGACCGACTACTAATAGACACTAGCTATTTAGTTGTACAAGTTAACAAATCTTTTCTACATATTTCAAAATTAATGCTCCTTCTATATTTTCACATTTCAGTCGAAGAGCAAAATTTAACATGTAAATTTTGTAAACGAAAATTGCAGTCGATGAATGCATTACGACGGCATATAACTTCTCGGCACTCGGAAATTTCTGGAAAGGAACACGAGTGTACCATCTGTAGCAAGAGTTTCAAGACGAAATGGTCACTATCAACGCACAATTCACGCTTCCACAGAGATATGCGTGTAACAAAAGAATGCATTAAAATGGAATTCACTTAAAGCACATAACAACACAACAGCCTATGTAACCATAATGAATTCCAACATTAGGTTTTTATTGTTGTGAATGTTTGTAAATCCTTTAATTTTAATTCTAGACATAAAACACACATACACACATATATGTAAATTAAATTCATTATGATATTCATATGTAATTATTGCTTTTTCGAAATAAATAATATTTGACTTTATAAAAACTGTATGTATGTAAATCGAAAATAGAAAAATAAACAAATATACTATATAAAAATAAAATTTTTATTTCACAAATTTAATTATACATGTGAAATATTATTTAATAAGCTTTAAGACCTGGTAGTGGAAATTTCGCACTAAACCCTTCAACGCCGCTACGCAGTTTGCTCAGTTTTTCTGCAATTTCTTTATTTGACTTCAAGGTTTGCTTGAAATCCACCAATTTGGGGCCAGACATTTTAGTTGTTTCAACACACAGTTTTAAAGCGCGATCTATGTAATCCACAACGACATCAATATCTGTCTCCACCAAGCCACGTGTAGTTAAAGCTGGTGTGCCAAGACGTATGCCAGATGGATTCAGCGCTGATTTATCACCGGGTACTGTGTTTTTGTTACATGCAACATTCACTTCCTCCAAAATATATTCGGCTTTGGCGCCAGTCAAACCAACATTACGCAAGTCGAGTAGTACTAAATGAACATCAGTTCCACCTGTAGCAACATTGTAGCCTCGCTGTATCAAACCATCACAAAGACGACGGGCATTGCTAATCACTTGTCGCTGGTAGTCAATAAACTCTTTAGTTTGCGCCTGTTTAAAAGCGGTGGCAATTCCAGCAATTGTGTTATTATGTGGTCCACCTATATAAATTAGTTTTGAGTGATTATTTAATAAGTATATAAAGATATTTGAAAAATTTAATTATTTGAATTGTAATTTTCTGCTAGGTTTTAAGTTTTAAGTTAATTTCTAAGGTCAATATAAAATATTTATTTTCAAAAGGCGTCGAAGCTCCTTAGTTTGGTATATACATATATATGTATGTATAAATAATATATGCTTAACAAAAAACATGGACAATGAGCCCTACCATATTTACCAGAAATGATCGAGTTACCTACCTTGTAGACCTGGAAACACTGCTCCATTAATGCGATCTTCTAAATCATATGTCACTTTATCACCATTTGGCAGAACTTTGCGTACGCCCTTGCGATAGAAAATGACACCAGCACGCGGACCACGCAACGTTTTGTGTGTTGTAGTGCTCACCACATCCGCATATTCAAATGGTGAGGGTATTAAACCAGCTGCCACTAAACCAGCAATATGTGCCATATCGGCAAAGAGATATGAATCATTTTGATCACAGATTTTACGGAAGCGGGCATAGTCAAGACAACGTGAGTAACAAGAAACACCAGCTATAATAACGCGAGGTCTGAAGAGTTTGGCATTCGCCTCCAATTGATCGTAATCGATAAGACCCGTTTGTGCGTCCACTTTATATGGCATACTCTCAAAATATATTGATGTTGCTGAAATACGTTTATTAGCCGTCATGAAACCGTGTGTTAAATGGCCACCATCTGGCAAATCAAGACCCATTATACGATCGTGGGGTTGACAGAGCGCAGTGTACACGGCAAAGTTAGCTGGCGAACCAGAATAAGGCTGAACATTGACGCCCCATTCCTCTGGATTGAGACGAAATGCTTCAAGTGCACGCTTTTGAGCAAGTCGTTCCACTTCATCAATAAATTCATTGCCACCATAGTACCGCTTGCCAGGCATGCCTTCGGAGTACTTATTGTGCAGGCAAGAACTCAAGCATTCCAAAACAGATACGGATGTAAAATTCTCACTGGCAATCATTTCTAAACCAACAGTTTGACGTTTCTTTTCTGCCTTTATAATGGCGTAAAGTTCCGGGTCACTGTCGCCCACGCCTTCATTCAATAGTTTAAGATTTCCAGACATGTTCTTGAAATAAAAATATGATCGTCAATATTTGTTTAAAAAACTATTTGTACTTAATTTAAGTATTTACTACTTACATAAAAATTAAATAATATTAAATTGTTTTGTTGAATATAACAGAAAAAAAAAATTATTGTATATTATAGTTTTATGCCCCTTATTAAACAAAAGTAAATTTTGTAATATTCACGAGTTTAGTCTCAAAATATGTAGTTTGTTGCCGGTGATCGAACAGTTAATAATTGTCAGAGTTTAATATGTTTAATCACATTACTTATTTTTTCTTTTAAGCTGATAATAAATAAGAAAAATAACAAAATAATATGTATTCAGGTCACAGGTTATAGATTATTGACGTACAATTGATAAAGTAACGATTTTGCTGATATGTATTATATGCTTGGATCAAATGAAAATGATATTTTTAAAATATGGTCGCGTGATAATAACAAGCCTCTCCATAAACATGTTTTTGTTTCAAAACAGTTCAATACTTATATATTTATATACATACGACATATACTACATATTATTTCATAGATCACTGATAATGCAAGCATCACTTAATATAATATTAAATTATACAAAACAGGACTTACTTGTCAACAACTTGGAATATTGAATATTACTGACATAAAAATTTAGTTTACGATACAAGTTGCATATTTGCTCAATAATTTGGTCATCACGTATATACATAAGTGAGTAAATGCCCATGCATGTGTATGTTATTACATACACTTGGAAGTTCGATTAGATAAAATATACATTTTAATAGTACATTATGCCAATGTAAGTGTTTACACAGGTACACTGAATCTTTAAATCTTCGCTTATTTAAGATTTATTAAATAATTCTAATATAGATAAAGGTAGTGTTATGAAAGTAGATGCACTTTAATTAATTTTGAAGTACTGGTAGGTATAATATTAAGTTACTTAGTAAATACATTCTTAGTTGATACTTATTTAGAGAATATTACAATTACAATTATATATATATATATATAAACAAAAAAACACCCACAGGAAAAGGTTGACTTCGTTGCAAGCTATCGATACCTATAGCTATAATACCCGGGTTTAAGTTTTCTTACAAGAACTTGATTTTTATCGGTCTTTTTGTATTGCTGCTATATCTTATAGTGGTTCGATCTGAACAATTTCTTCGCATTTTGTAGCGTTACTTTGTAAAATAATCCATGCTTAATTTCTTGAAGATATCTCAACAAATATAAAGGTTTTCCATACAAATAAGCAGCTTTTTGGGGAAAAAAGGACGTGTGCAAAATTTCAGATCGATATCTCAAAAACTTTCCCCTATTTTATAGGTCTTTTTCGACGTTTCGTTCGGGGTGTAACAAACTTCGTAGCAAACTTAGCATGTTTTGTTTGGGCTATAAAAGCACATTCGTAATAAGTAATATAATATGAAAGTACCAAATACGACATTGCTGTTGTCAGCATATTATATTTAGCTGATCGACTATGTGGGTTAGAAATTTAAATTTTTAATCTTTAGCATTGACAATACAAACAAATACACACGCATGGAGTTAGCGTTAAAAAATATATTTTTTATAACTTGCAATATTTATACCATTAATTACACATTACATGCCTTCAAGTTCAAAATGTGATAGGTGGGTAGTGATGGTTAATAATAATCAATAACAGTTAAAAAAACCCAATAGTGATGTGGAGAGCGGAACAAGTTAATACTTATAACAATTATTAAATCATTGAGTGAAGCTATGTTAAGCTAATTTATTTCTTCATCATAATAATTTACATTTGTATGTATGTCGACAGTTGTATTACGTGTTACATACATATAGTACACCGGTGGTACACTAATTAGTACACTCTTACATATACCAATAATACTGCTTGAAAATTGAAGATATTTTAGGAAATTATTTTTTTTGTATATTAATAAGTTGTTATTTTGCCGTTATAAATCACGCATTACTGAAAATTTTGTGATCGGTTTCAAAGAAGTACGCCTTTATTGCATAAAGGCTTTTGATTCAGACTGGCATTTTAATTAGCACATCGTGCTATCAGAACAGTTTTTCGTAATTCGTTTGCGTTTAAGGTTGTGATTTTTCTCTGAGATTAGTTGTAAGTAAAATTTTTAATACACATCAGTGTAAAATATTGAAAATGGGACGTTCCAAGAGCTCCAGTATAGAGGAAAGGCGCCTTATATGGAACATGTTCCAGGACGTGAAAAATATTAGTGAAATTGCTCGTTGCATTAGAATTTCGAAAAAAAGTTCAAAACGCTCTCAGATATTATCGTGAGAATAAAACATTTGCAAATAAAAAGAGATCTAGACGCAAAAAGACTACAACACGAGAAGAATCGCTCACTGTTCGGCAGGCGCTTAGAGATCCTTTTGCAACTTTCTCGCAAATACGAGCTACAATGCAGGATGAATATGGCGTAAACATTGCCAGTAGGACTGTTAGACAGCATCATTTGGAAAACAACCTTTGGGGATGACCAAGTTTAAAAAATCTAAAAGTTTTACATAACAATCCTTCTGGAATTCTGTAGTTTTAAGCGACAAATTTAAATTCAACTTACATGAACTTTACTTGTTTAACGAAGCATGGTATTGGTCCTATTGTGCAGATAACGGGCAAGTTAGATTCTGTGGCATACCAGAAGTTGCTTGAAAATTATCTCGTACTGTAAATATAAACTCAAGTTTTGGTAAATGTATAGTTTAGGAGTTATTGAAGTCACTTAGTTGTTGTTGTTGTAGCAGCAAAATTCTGTAGAATTCAGATCACTTAGCTGTAATTACCAGTTCAGCGTGTTAAACATTTTATTATGAAAAAAATATACTGAAGAAATGTAACAGTCACAATTTCCTTTGCACCGCGATCTGATGGTATGGATGAATATCGGAGATCGTTAAATTCCTTTCTGTATTGGCGGCCTTCGGCCGCGCTCCAAAAAAATAACCCTGGTCGGTCCAAAACCGGGGTGTTCATAATTCAATCGCGTCAAACTCCTTTTCACTGCTCTCAACCTCGATGATAATATCACAATAAAAGTGCACTAACATTGATATTTTAATAAAAATTTTCAGAAACGTTTATGAAGAGAAGTAAATACACCAAAAAACTTGAACAATATGTGATTTTTTCAAAGAAAAATATTAAACAATTAATTTAAATTTATCACAATTTTTTATTTTTAATGCATATTTAAAAAAAAAAAGAAGAATAAAACGTTTTTTCTTTTAATTTTTTTTTTTTTGAAAAAATTAAAAAAAAATTTTGAATTTTTTTTTTGAAAAAATTAAAAAAAAAAATAGAAATATTCAAAAAATTCACTTTCCGCTCACGGATTTGTAATCTACGCGTAAATATAAGACGATTTAAAAAAAATTTTCAATTTTGAGGCCTCCTTAGTTGGGGACCTAAACTATACATTTATCCAATTTTTTCAGATGTGTTGGCCTCTTGATCGAACTGCTTCTAAATAGGTTTTACATTATATTGATTTTTTTTTTTGGTTCTATTATGTTTTTTTTTTCTAATTACTAACTTGTTTTCATTCAACATTATTTAATAAATATTACTGAATACCTATACTTCAATTCCTTCTCGATATTATTATTTTTTTCTTTAGTTTTCTTTTAATTTTAGTGCACATGGCAGAGTGGTCTAATTAGCGTGCCACCCTTGTATATACTGTAAACTTTACAGTGTAAAGTAGATACTTTAATAAAAGGCTTTTCTATCTGCGAAAGCACTTATTTTATTAAGCGTACTTATGCATAACACCATTAGGATCTATCTACATATGAATCCATGTAATTATACATATGTGTATAAGTAATCCGTTTATTTATTAAATTTTTTTAAAATCGTATCACAAACAAATTTACAGTTTATAGGTGTGCGCACTTCCCACATGTGCCTTCTGATTAAAACAAAAAACAAAAAAAAAAAGAATTCTCGCATGCGTTGCCGAATTAGAAAGGTGCCGGTATAACAAACTATATAGTATAATTACTTCGCAGTGTTTCGAAATTCAGTTTATGTATTTATACTTACAGTAGAATAATTTGCGACAAAAACGCCAAATATTGACCTTCCCTTTTCTAGTTGTTTATTATATGAAAAATGTGATCTTGTAGCCGTATTAGCAATTGAAGCTTGGGGAAGAAAACGCTGATAAAGCACTTTACTACCGGCGTTGGATAGTTGAGTTCGCGTGCTCAGCGTGTAGATGGCACGAGGTGTAATATTTTGTATATGCATTTTCGCCTAAAACTTGACCCCAAATTTACTACACATTCAAAGACGTATGTCTTTAGCCGACGCTCGTTTCCCAAATACTGAAAAAATAAAAATTTCAAAAGATCAATAGGGGTCATTGATAACCTTTGACATGAAGTGATAATAGTATTTGGTCTTACACTGATAAAAACTTTTGTAGTCTTGGACAATGCGATAAATATTCATTGCTATATTTTTAAAATTGCATACAATAAATTAAATGTCACACCATTTATAAGTAAAATACAAAGAAACAAAATTATTCGTTAAACAGATTATTTTAAATTTTTGAAACATTTTTATATAGCATTGTTTTAAACAAAGTGTACATATAAAAAATAAACCGCAGACTTTGGTAGATGCAAAATTGTAGGCAACAAATATACGGATGTGTTTTAATATGCTATGAAGAATAACTTATCGATAACTGTAAATTGCATGAATTATCAAATGTTTTTTTTTAACATCGATTATATTCTATTGTTCGGTTAATATTTCATCACTATTAAGAATTAGAATAAACAATTATTAACCATCATTGATTTCGAAATTTACGCGCCGTATAATATAATGGATATATTAAATCCACAAGAAAACGACGGTGTAGGTCTCATAATAGAACCTGGATATTCATGGAATGAATTGCGTGAGAACGTAATGAATTCTTGTCTAAAAAAAAAGTTTCACATCCTTTTAGACGGAGATTCCAAAACAGAAGAAGTATGGCATATTTACCTTTTGCTTGTAAATATTTCTAAAATATGTCATTGTAGGTGTATAGAAAAATAATGGATTTATTAAACTCCGAATTGAATTTGGATGAAATAACCAGCCTTTTCGTTATTGTTGGTACTCTTTACTTTGTTGAAGCTACACCGCTAAACATGGAATGGCGCACACAACTTCTGCAAAGAACATTTAACTACACAGACACATTAAGTCCAATGCATGTAAGGGATAATTATGCGTTTAAAAAATGTCTCTTTACAACGAGTCTTCTATTCATTTATTTTTAGCTTCATTTAGCGACTAAACGACTTTGGACAAGTCTAAAAAAGAAGGAGACGGACGTGTTCAATATACTTGCACTTTGTAATCAAATGGTTATCATAAGTGAAACAGCTAGAGCTATTTCCGTTTGTCTTATGTGGACCATAATCTCTGAAATAACAGATACTCCCAGCGAAATGTATTGTTTCAGGCAGGTAAGAAAGTTTATCAGATACACGTTTGATATGAAAAAGTAAAAATTTGTTTATAGTTCACGAAGTTGCTCGAAATGCTGAATAATATCGAAAATGAAACACTGCAGGAGGAGGAAAATACTAAGATTGTTTACATTTTAGTACGTGTTTTAAGTTATCTTATAAATGTCACTCTTTGTGATGCTCAAAATGAGGATATTATAAAAGCCGGCTATCGCATGTACTTTAAATACACTTCTTCATTTTTAAAGCAACTTTTGAATTGGTGCGAAAACTTTAAAAAGACTATAGATTCTTGCCCTAAACCAAAGCAAATTCAAACTGATTGGGATCTCCGTATGATGGTAAGAATAAATATTGGAATTTTACTACAACGCCAGATTTTATATTTTATTTTGTAGATTACTGAGCACATCAGCTTTAATATTATTAACGTTCTTCAAGACAGAATAGAGCAGATGAGTGCACCGGATTATTCCTAGGATAAAAGAAAGTTATAGAAGTTTTACATAATTCAGTTAATAATGTATGTGAACACTTTTTTTTTAAAGAAATATGTATTTAAATAAAAAATAATTAAAAATGTATTACACACGAAATGAAAAAAAATTACATGTTCTTAGTAAAGTTTCGTCGTTAAAAACATTGTACTACTGGACATACTATATGTGCATGTACAATTGTTTAAAATAAGTATATCAGAATAAGAGCTGTAATATATTCCACTAATAATCACCTAAAGTAATGAATACTTTATTCAAATTGCGATGAGTGCACGTCGATTATGAGTCAATAAAATACCGATATACACTAATTGTTAAGAATGTCAAGTGTCTATAAAATGAATCCGATTGTCATTATTATTTACGACGAAGGATAATGTAGCGTAATTAATTTTATGTTCCATTTCTTATCAAACATTCAAGTTCTTTCATTCACAATGTTTTTATTAGCTTTTTTCAAATCGAAAATATTATTATTAAATCAAAATTTATTCCGGCTGATTCAGCTACTAGCTTACATTAATATCAACTCTGTGTACTTCGAAATTCGAAATTCGAAATCATAATGACAATTTTTTCTAGTGAAGCTTTTGCAAAGTCATTTTTATCAAAAACATTTGCGAGATAATTATTTCATAAAAATAATTTATTAAATACAATATTCCGCGATGACCGTCACAAATCGGGTGAGTTATTTTTTTTATACTATATGAAAATATACAATATTCTAAAACTAAATAATTTCACAGATGGAAATCGACGCCGCTCTGAAAGGTGAAGGCTTCCGTTCTTATTACATTCAGAAGATCGAAGAATTGCAATTAATTGTTGCTGAAAAGAGTCAAAATTTGCGACGTTTGCAAGCTCAGCGTAATGAGCTCAATGCAAAAGGTAATTGTCCTATAAAACATAAACATACCACGTTGTTTTAATTGATTTTTCGTTATAAATTCAGTACGTATGCTACGTGAGGAGCTTCAGTTATTACAAGAACAAGGCAGTTATGTTGGTGAAGTCGTGAAACCAATGGATAAAAAGAAAGTGTTGGTAAAAGTACATCCAGAGGGGAAATTTGTAGTTGATATTGATAAAAATATCGATATCAATGATGTTACTCCCAACTGCCGTGTAGCTCTTAGAAACGAAAGCTATACTCTACATAAAATTCTTCCAAATAAAGTTGATCCATTGGTATCTCTTATGATGGTTGAAAAAGTCCCTGACTCTACCTATGAAATGGTTGGTGGATTAGACAAGCAAATTAAAGAAATCAAGGAAGTCATCGAATTACCAGTAAAGCATCCAGAGTTGTTCGACGCATTAGGCATAGCTCAGCCAAAGGGTGTACTTCTCTATGGTCCACCTGGCACAGGGAAAACTCTTTTGGCCCGTGCAGTGGCTCATCATACTGAATGTACATTTATCCGAGTATCTGGGTCGGAATTGGTACAAAAGTTTATTGGTGAAGGTTCACGTATGGTTCGTGAATTGTTCGTAATGGCACGTGAACACGCTCCTTCTATTATTTTTATGGATGAAATTGATTCCATTGGTTCCTCAAGAATCGAATCGGGTTCTGGCGGTGACTCCGAAGTACAACGTACAATGTTGGAGTTGCTTAATCAATTGGACGGTTTTGAAGCTACAAAGAACATTAAAGTAATCATGGCAACGAATCGCATTGATATTCTAGATCCAGCCCTTCTTCGACCAGGCCGTATCGATCGGAAAATTGAATTTCCTCCACCGAACGAGGAAGCCCGTCTAGATATTTTGAAAATTCATTCTAGAAAAATGAACTTAACCAGGGGAATAAATTTACGCAAAATAGCTGAATTGATGCCAGGAGCATCGGGTGCTGAAGTGAAAGGTGTCTGTACAGAAGCGGGCATGTATGCCTTACGTGAACGACGTGTACATGTCACACAAGAAGACTTTGAAATGGCCGTAGCGAAAGTAATGCAAAAGGATTCCGAAAAAAATATGTCGATTAAAAAGTTGTGGAAGTAAAATGTTAAAAAACAAACAAAATAAATTTAAAAATTGTATTTCAAATATAGAATTTATAAAAAAGTCAAATATTTTAATATCATTGTTGCTGTATTAAGGGAGCAAAAGCA